CGGTGCTAGCTCATTGATTGGCTTCTTGCGTATCAGTTTCTGCCATTCCTTCTTCAAGCCTAGGTGAATTCGAGACCGTGCCATTCTATGGTCACTGCATCGTACCTTGACAACCACTTCCACATCCTGCATGATGCCTGGGTGTACACTCATTAAAAAGTCATTTTAGTTTTTATTTTCGCTATTAGGGCTGCTCCATGTCCACTTGCAGTTTCCTCGTTTTCGGTTGAAGTTATTCAAAAATTCGTAAACTATTCCGTTCTGCGAGTTTTACTAGTAGCTCTCTTCTGGCGTTTCTAGTACCGATTCCATAGTCTCCTACTGCCTGGTCGCCAGCCTGCTTCTTCCCTACTTTTGCATTAAAGTCTCCCATCAGTATAGTATATTGTGTTTTTACCTTACTCATTGCAGATTGCATGTCTTCATAGAAGCTTTCAACTGAAGCGTCATCATGGCTGGATTTAGGTGCGTAAGCCTGTACCACCTTCATCTTGTATCTTTTATTCAGTTTAATTACGATACCTACCACCCTTTAATTTATGCTATAATATTCCTCCATGTTGCCAGCTATGTTTTTGTGAATTAAGAACCCCACTCCGAGTTCTCTTCTGTCAGCCAAGCCCCAATAGCAACGAACGCGCCCATTCTGTAGCACCGTATAAGCCTCCCCTGTCCTTCTAACCTCACTGAGCCCTATTATATCCCATTTAACACCTTCTAGCTCCTCGAGTAGTACAGCTACACTTCCTTCACTAGATAAGGTTCTAGCGTTAAACGTTGCCGAGTTCAGGTTCCAATGGCGGCCTGTCCGGATCCAGAGATTCTTAGCACCCTCTGCTGCGTTGCAGATCTGACCACCGCGGTGGTCAGTTGCTTCGCTGCTGCTGGGGACTGAGGGCCGTGAGTTATTTGACGTATGCATGTGAGAGGTAGTGGCCAGATACTGCACCAGGGTGGCCAATCCTTCTCTGGTGAGGGAGTGCGTTCCCGGCGGTGGTTACCAGTGAGGCCGCACTCCAGGCTTCTTAATACAATTCCATCACCACGCGGATTTTTTTATCTGGTTGGGAATTGCGCAGCACCGGGATTTGAACCACAGACCTTTTCATGCGAGGCTGATACTCTGACCACTAGACCATCGCTGCACGCCGCAGTGATGGCGTAATGGTTAGAGCATCCGCCTCGCATGCAAAAAGCCATGAATACAGTGAACTATTATATACCATGAACTCGAGGTGGTTAAAGGTGGGAAGTAGACACCAAGCGCAAGCCGTAAGAAAGTGTGCGTGTGCTTCCTCTCATTCAGTCCTTGGAATGTCCCCTGGATGACTGTGCTTCTATATGAGGAATATATGATGAAAACGTGCGAAACAGTAGTACTTGGAGTGTTGAATAGGTGGGTGAACATACACGCAGACAGATGCATAGACGGATGCACGGCCGGATGGACGCATGGACGGACGCATGAGCGGATGCATGGACGAACGCAGGGACGGCCGCATACGTGGACGTGCGGACGTACAAACAGACGCACGCACGAACGGGTGGATGGACGCACCGGAGGCCACACAGACGCACGCATGGACGAACGGAAGCAAGAACAAATCGGACGGATGGATGCTTCGCCCAACTCTCCATCATTCACTCTGTGGATATGCTGCCATTTTTTATGTGAAATGATCTCATTACCTTCCTCTCTGAGTTTACTTATTTCTCTGTTTTCAACCAATTTCTGTAATGTTTCTGTTACTTTCTCACAATTTGTACTTTCTTTCTCTCTTTCTTTCTACTCGTTCTGTCGCAAATCAAACATGTTGGATACCACGAAGAAAATCGGTGTACGTGGTGTGGAAGCAAAGCACAAGATCTAGAAGATGAAGAAAAGAGATGGCTTGAGGGTTCGCAATAATGGTAGAAATGAGTTCGTTCTCCAAAGACTAACCGTAGGCTTAAACATCTCTCCTGTTAAGAAGTAACGTGAATTTCAGCTGAGACGTCGTTAAAGCATAGCTGCGAAATTGCATCCTTTAAATGTGGTTCAGGACGTGTCGAGATGACTACTAATATAGTCAGGCCGTCATAACACATATTAAGTAGTATTCATGCAGGCCAACCACCTGCATTGAATTGGGGGGGGGGGGTAATCTCATTCAAAGAAATGAGAAGCTAATCAAGCTCGCGGCGGAACGCATACAATGCGTACTTAGACCGTCAGTTGTGGCTTACTACAACGCTCTCCGCGTAAGAAGTTCGCGCATTGTACGTACGCTATCATGTAAAGACTAGACGTAACGCTTTCTACAGAAAGTAGATGTTGATGAAATGCTAGGTAGTGCCTAGTCAGAAAAAGCTAAGCCTTAGAGCATTTGACACCTTAAAAGTCTTTTACATACGAGAACGCACATCAGCCGTGAATATTTTAGAAAATAAAAAGAAGTAAAAAAACGCGAAATTTCAAATATGAAGAATTACTTTTTTATAATTTCAAAATTACCACACCTACCATGGAGTGCAAGATGCTTGGGAAGCTAGAATACGCTGAACAAGAAAATTTTTGCAGCGACGCCACCTTCAAATTCACGCACCAAATGCCGTGACATCATACAATTAGAGGGCGTCTTCTTGGGTCAATACAGTTCACCATCGCTAAAAGTCATTTAGAGAGATCTCTCCGTGTGTCATAGTCCTAACATACTAATTTCATGAAATTTCGTGCAAAGAGTTTCACGAAACGCGATCAAAACTTTTTTGAAATCTGTGACGTTGCACCCAGTGATTTCGGTGAAAAATCAATCTCTGGGATTTTGACATTTAGTTTTACTTTATAAGATTGCATTGGTGAAATTAAACGCAATAAAATTCCCAGAGAACAATTCATTGATCTGCACTGATTCATTGTTTCGCTTTAGTGTGCATTTAAGACGTGAAAGAAAAGCTTATGCAATGCATACAGCGGAAATAAATGGACGCGGGAAACTATTCCATAAGGTTTTGCAGTACAAATAAAAATGTCCGTAGCGAAAAAAAACAACATGCATTGTCTAAAATAGCACGGGCCCCATTCCATGGCACCTAAGCGTGGTTCATTGAAAGAAGTACTCATTATTCGGTACGTATATGCTGGAAAATTATTTTTGCACTCATAAATATACCAAATATCTAATTTAGCGAAGCCAAAAGTGATTGCCAGAAAAAAGTCAGAAAACCGAACAAACAAGCCGCTGCCGGAACAGTTGATTTCAATATCGCATGGTCTGCCAACAAAACAATAAGGCACATTCCGAATACCAGCACTAGAGCCTCTCTCTCCATTCTATATTGCTGTTTAAAGACAATAGTCTTTTTTTGGGCACCTTCGACGCAAAAATTTTGGTCTGTCTGTCTGTACGTTTGTCTGTTTGTCCACTCTCGGTGGCATCAGGTATTTGAAATGGCTGACCCCATCCGCAGCGCCTACCTATGTTGCTCAAGTTGGAGCGTTCATGCTTGTGCAATTGTGAATTAAAAACAATTATCGCGCATGTCTGAGGCACCATAACAACACTTATATATGCTGTATGTGAGCCTTTTACTGGAAAAGGCATAGATAAGCAATTTTAAGGACCGTAGCGCCTATCACGGTGCGCTGACCATGCAACGCTTGCACGGAAACACGAGTGTTTCCAACGCTTTGCTAAAATGAGATGGTGGTGGCACCTAACTGTTGCCTTGCGTTCTACACCTTATTACCTCTGAGATGGGCGCGCACACCCGTCTCAGAGCAACGTCTTTGTTTTCTAAAAAAAAACTGCCAGATGGCTCTTATGTCTCACGTGTGACGTGTCTTGATGCGCTCGTTCGCCTCCACTGAACGCTCAAAGCACTTGATGCAGCACCTTCAGAACACCATTCACTGATTTTCTTGCGCGGAACATCAAATAAATGTCTTGTTCACTCTCTACGCACGCAAGCTATCGTGTTTCGACGACATTTGCAGATTACATGCAGATACGGGGCCAATTTTGTGTGGATTTCCATTTTTTCTTACTCTATTTCTCTTTATTCCTCTGCCATGCTGTAATACTGAATCGGAGTACCAGAAAATAAATGTACCCTGAAATATATTTCTGCATATAATGAGCTACAGTATATATTAAAAATCATGCCATTTACATAGGTTCACTGAGATAAAAGCAGTGCACTTCCTCCCGTATAGAGCGCGAAATTTTCAGTGCAGGTCATCAATCACTTGATCTGCCATAGCAGGATCCCCAGAGGTCCGAATGGTATTATCAGAGTTATTGAAACTGATTAATCGGTTCTGAAAGGATGAATATTATATTTGTCAAGCTCGTGCATATCTTGAAGGCTTGGTGTCTCAGCATTGTGTGCGAATCAGGTTCATACCTTGACAAACTCGGGAGGCATTCTCTAATTGTGCGTATTTAACAGCGTCTTGCGAAGAATTCATGTTGTTGCTGTGAACATGATTTGTGTGGGGAAATGCCGAAAAACTGTGGCCTCTTCATTTGGAATCAAAGCATTGGATTCAGAAGTAAAGATTTCTATAAACAGGTAGTAGTCCCCGCTTCTATACCTGCATTTATAGTCGAAAAAAAGAGTCATTATCTACTTTCTAGTGATTCCTAGCTCCTTGCTGATACGTTATCATAGCATATTTTACGTGAAACTACTGAAATCTTATAGAATAAGCCAAGCACATCAAGATCAGTCAAAGTAAATACTTTTCTAAATAAGGTTGCTGCAAATAATGATGGCAGGCGGTGGTACCCAAATTTCCTGTCTTAATGACATACTTCAGTTGGCGTGTTTCAATAGACACAATTGGCACTGCGTAGCTGGCTACTTTATTTGCGCAATAACATTCGGAGCCACGTGAGACATACTTGTGCTTGAGTTTCATGAACGTTCTGTAAAAATTGGGACCCTTAAGAGAACAAATTGCGAACACCGGTCAACAATGTCGACATTGTACCAGAATGTCTACAATTTTTTACCAGGGACAACACGACTTACTTCGCAGAATTCGTTAACAAAACCCCACCATCTCCACCAAGTGAAATGATGTACAACACCACAACAGGTAAGCGCTTCACAGTTAGGAGTTTGTTTAGTTTGCAGCCCATATACATTTGCAAAAAGATGAAACTTTAGTGGCAACAACGCTGTTACTTAGATGAAAGATGACTTGTTGAATTGCTTGAGCTGATCGTGCCTCATCATTTAGAAAAAAAACCCCTCTCAAGTGCCTAAATAATGTATGTGTTTCCCTTGAACGTCTGTTTTTTATGCTTTGTAATGAAACACTAAAAACTTATCTTCAAACAAAGCTTTTACCAATTAACTTGCACCTATGGTGGTGGTGCTACGAAAACCTTCTCTATCCACAGAAGTCTCGTCCCAGTGAAATTATCTTTTTAGGGCTAAACTTTCAGCACGTTGCTCCCCGGTTGCGAAGCGAGTGTCTAGAGCCCGAGACATAGCAGCCATGCTTGCCCGGAACTGAACAAACCACGTAAACACTCTCTGCAGACAATTCAAAACACAACCGGGAAGCAGTGAAGATGCTATAAAAGCTTGAATAAAATATTAGGTTCACGGAAAAAAAACGGTCTGCTGGAGCGATTATCGCATATTTCATGCTCTTTCTAGCCTACTTCATCCTGCAGAACAGCCCAACAAAATGACCACAAGGCGATCATGAACCACTCGCAGGAATTCACTTTTCTCAAAGTCAAAATTTTCTAGGCATGTGCAATTCGTAATATTCGTATTGACGTTGGGGTGCTCTAAGGTCAATACGAGAATTTGCAAATAGCATTCAAATAGGGACTTTCACAAACCGTCGTGAAAATGCGAAAGTGATTTTTGAATACCTTGTTAGTCTGAGAGCACTGATGCAGCAACCCGGCCCACCGCGTTACCCTTCATGATTCAACGCCGTGTCACTTTCTTTCTGGGCTGCTTCTCTGTCTTTAAATGCAGTGTACGTGCACCTGTGTAGTAAGGCACTAGCGCGAACTCTCCACATAGGGGGACAAAAATATTTGATTCAATTATATGAACTCTCTTGGCTGAATTTTGCCGCCGGCGTCGGCATCACCCACTGTATATATATATATATATATATATATATATATATATATATATATATATATATATATATATATATATATATATATATATATATATATATATGAAAATGCAAGAAACAAAAAGAACTGAAAAGGACTCCGGCACGCGGTATCGAGCTTGGGTCCTCTCGATTGTGAGTGTGAAGCGTTAACAAGTAAGCCACTGAGGAGCACGTCCTTGGCCCTTCAAACAGAAAGCTATTTATATCTACCACCTACCGCTGCTGCCGGTCATCTCGGAGGGATTTGTCGTGTTTTTAGCATTACCAGCAAAATGGTGCAATGAGCGCGCGTTGCCACATCACGTGGCCGCGCACGCTGTAATCTCGCACGTGAAATTCACCCCGCTTAGAGGGGGTGGAGTGACGCTTCCTCGCGCACCCTTATCTCGCGGTGGAGAGCAGGGGAGGATCATACGTCTTGGCTGGCCTCGAGCTTTACCTAGAAAATTTCTGTCTATGTGTGAATTCTGAAAGAATTGACGCATAGACGATGCCTTAGATCGACACCACTATGTGAGATGCTTTTCTTCGATGGACCTCAAGAGAGGCTATTGGGAAATCGAAGTCGACAAGAGAGACCGAGAAAAGACTGCCTTCATAACACTGGATGACCTGTTCGTATTCAAGGCCATACCCTTTGGTTTTTGCTCGGTATCTGCGACTTTCCAACGAGTCATGAATACGGTCCTGGCTGGCTTGAAGTGGCACTCTTGCCTCGTTTACTTGGACGACGTCGTCGTGTTTTCCTCGAGCTTCGACGAATACCTCCAGTGCCTTGAATCTGTACTTCAAGCAATTACGACCTCTGAACTCATGCTCACGCCAGAGAAATGCAGCTTCGCGCGCATCAAGCTCCTCTTTTGAGTCATGTGGGAGTGCACCCAAGAACAGACGAAAGTGCACCCAGACCCACAGAAAACAGCTGCAATCACCGCCTTCCCGTCACGCACCAACAAGAAGGCCATACGCCAATTTTTCGGCTTGTGCGCCTATTACAGAAGCTTCGTCAAAACCTTTTCATCAATTGCCGAGCTACTGACGCACTTCACAAAGACCAACCTCGATTTCAAGTGGGAAATAGCACAAATTGAAGCATTTCAGGAACTAAAACGACGCCTGCAGACCCCTTCTGATACTTGCGCATTTCAACAAATACGCCGATACGGAGATCAACATCGACGCTAGCAGCGTAGGCTTCAGCGCTCTTCTCGTGCAGAAAACTAATGGAGAAGAAAGGGTTATCAGTTATGCTAACTGGTCGCTATCGAAGGCAGAATGCAACTGTTGAACAACAGAAAAAGAGTGCCTTGCCATCATCTGGACTACCTCCAAGTTTCACCCCTACCTCTACGGCAGGTCTTTTAAAGTTGTGAGCGACTACCACGCCCTCTCTTGGCTAGCTTACTTAAACGACCCTTGAGGTCGCCTCACATGGTAGAGTCTGCGTCTTCAGAAATTCTACGTTACTGTCGTTTACAAGTTTTCATGAAACCACTCTGACACCGACTGGCTATTCCGTGCTCCCGTTGACCCACCACCGCATAATGACGACCACCCTAACAACTTCTTATGAACCTTAAGCGTCGATGACTTTGCGGAACGTCAGACAGCCGACTCTGTAATCAAGGGCCTTGTGGATTACCTCGATGGCAAATCTGCCGTCATTCCAAAAGTACTCAACGAGGACCGTCGTCGTTTTTTTTTGTGGAATGGCATCCTCATCAAAAACATTCTTGCCACATTGGGCCAACTACCTCACAGTAGTACCTTCCGCGTTACGTCTGGTAGTTCCGGATGCTCGGTATGATGACCCGACGGCGGGAGACCTTGGGTTTTCCCGTACGGTAGCGAAGATGCAAGAAAAGTACTACTGACCCCGCCTCACTGCCGAAGTAATCCACTACGTAAAAACCTGCCCAGGCTGCCAGTGACGCAAGACACCACCGATAAGGTCAATAGGCTTTCTTCAGCCGATCGTACCACCATGCCAACCGTTCTAACAAATGGGGATGGACCTACTGGGGCCGTTTCCGACATCCAGTTCCAGATACAAATGGATAATTGTGGCTACTGACTACCTCACCTGCTACGCCGAAACAAAGGCCCTCCTCAGAAGTATACTGCTGAAGGAGTTGCCGAGTTCTTCGTTGAGAACGTCGTCCTTCGTCATGGCACCTGAAACATTCTCATCACTGATAGAGGTACGGCTTTACTGCTGATTAGACTCGGGCGATTTTAAGACATAGCCAGACAAGCCACCACCGCACCACCACTTACCACCCACAGACAAATATTCTCACCGAGCACCTAAGCAAAACAATCGCCGACATGCTGGCCATGAAAGTCGACGTCGAACACAAGACGTGGGACACCATCTTACTTACGTACGTGACTTTCGCATACAACACGACCGTGCAAGAGACGACGCAGATTCCGCCGTGCAAGTTTGTCTACGGAAGGAACCGAGCAACGATACTCGACGCAACACTCTCCAACATCGCTGATGAAGAAAACCTCGACGTCACCCTCTACCTTCAGCGAGCTGAAGAAAGTCGTCAACTCGCCCACCAGCACATCACAAATTAAGATATGACCAATTTCTGACATTACACTCTTCGACAACGCTTCGTGGAATATTAAACTGGTGAACGGGTTTGGGTATGACGCCGATACGCCAACGTCCATGAACTCAGTGAAAATCTTCTGCGACGATTTTTTGGACTTTAGAGGGTAGTAGGACGTCTCGGCCCACTAGATTACAAGGTTGTCCCTGACAGCATCACGAACTCTCAACGACGTCGATCACGACATGAAGTCGTCCATGTCACTCACCTCAAGCCGTTTCATGCACGTGAACAAACTGAAAACTGTATTTTGTTGTTTATTTATTTATTTAGAAATACTGTCTACCCTCTATTGAGGATCATTACAGGAAAGGTACGACACACTGTACAAACAAATTGGGGATATAACTATGCATCTCCCAAATATAAACCAGGTATACATATTGCTACGTGCCAGTGCATGGAGCTGAAGTAGAGAAAGCAGATAGACTGGCACGAGCTAATCGGTGTGGCTGGCGCTGCTCGCCTAACCGGCTGTAAATACATCGGTGCCTACCCCTCTGAGCCAGTCTCCTTCCCGTAACATATTTGGTGGAGTTGTGCGATCCCTGTCCTCGCCACGGAACTCCGAAGCGGACGCTCACTCGCGGCTTACAACATGACAACTCAAGACTCGGCTACATCCTCTCCGGTCGCTCCCCCTTCTGCCCGACCTGTCAAACCAGCGCCCACGACAACTTTCGTGACGCTTCCCGCGCTCAAAGACCCCTGCGTGTTCTCGGGCAGCGAGGGTTCCGACGTCGACCAGTGGCTACGCCTCTACGAACGCGTCAGGGCCACTTACAGGTGGGATCCCACTCTTATGCTCGCAAACGTCATCTTTTATCTCGACGAAACCCCTCGTGTTTGGTTTGATAACCACGAGCATGACATAACAAGCTGGGACAGCTTCAAGGCAAAAATCCGTGAGCTTTTTGGCAACATCTCTGGTCGTCGCGAAGCTGCGAAAAATGAGTTGTCGACTCGCGCACAATCTTGCACGGAGCCCTACATCGGTTATATTCAGACTGTTCTTTCACTATGCCGCCAAGCTGACGATAATATGTCTGAAACTGAAAAAGTTGTGCATATCCTAAAGGGTATCGCCGACGATGCGTTCAACTTGTTGGTATTCAACAATGTGTGATCTGTTGATGCAATCATTCAAGAATGCCGCCGGTTCCAACAAGCTGAGAGCAGACGCATCTCCCATCAGTTCCAGCGCCTCCCGAACACCACTGCGACGTCCTCGTGTCTCAACACATATCATCCACCAGACACCTGTGACAACTTGACGCGAATCGTCAGGCGAGAGCTTGAAGCGACTGCTCCAGCTAAGGTGGG